AGGGTGAGGGCCAGGGGCGCCCTCCCCTCCTCTCCCGCATGTGGGTGGGCGGGTGGCAGGAGCCCCGATTTTCTTGTTGGGTTGGTTTCTTGTTGCTCAACTCCATGGCAAGGGGGTGTCCCCATGCCCGCCTCTGGCTAGGCGTGGGGGGGCCTTAGTGGGGTGGGCTGGATGTAGGCCTTGGGCTGTGTCGCTTTTCTTCCAGCTTATTTGTGCCTCCCCTCAAGACACCAAGCCTTTGCCCTCTGCTTTGAGCCAGGGATTGCAGGGCCCCAGGCCCAAAGTGGGGTGGGGAGGGTGGGAGAACGGATGCAGAGGGAAGGTGGCTGCTTGTCTGACCACCCCAGCAGCACCCGGGAGCAGATATTGATCAGTCTCCATCAGGATTTTTTTCTTAATTATGTCTCTTTCTTCTCCCCCCCGCCCTCCAGAGCAAAAAGCTCTGTCCTCGCCTTTTTACCCAGATGAGTTCATTGTTGGGAAGGCGCTCCAAACACTGCCAGGTTCCTTCTGGCGGCTCGAAACACGCGTGCCGTAGTGGCGAAGGGTCCCCTGATCCGCCCCGAGATCTGTCCTGGACCTCGCTGGTGTGCGCGTGTCTGCTCCCCGCAACAAGAATAACCTGTTGGTAGAAGTGCGGGGGGTGGTGTTTGGAGTGAGCCGTGCGCGTCCAGGCATGCATGGTCCCCAATTAGAGCAGCAGAGTCCTTGCTTTGTAGAAACAGGCCTAGCCCCTGAAAGCCCTGCTTGTTTGGACGAATGCAGGCGACTGATTAGCTAAATCCAATATATTACTAAATCAATAGATAGCGGATGATTGTTGGATGCTCTATATAGCTGGCTATTTTTTTTGTCCTCCTCCAAAGTCGAGGGCTTGATTAGGAAGAGCTTTGCGCTCTTGGTGTTTCTTGCTAGCAGTCTGAACCTAAAGAGTGACTTGATCTCCTTTGCAAGGTTTGGAATTTGAATTGTGGAGGTAAACTGGCTGTAATAGTCTCCAGACAGCTGCCTCTGAGTTGACATCTAATCTGCCATCTGATTGGCTCCTCTCTCACCATTGGGCATTTAGCACTGCTGATGTAAATAGAAGTGCTGAGCAATACAGTCACAAAAATTCTTGCCACAAATAATAACTGAGCAGTAGCGCTCACAGATGCAAGGTTAAACGTTCTTAGAAGAAGCCGAAATAATGAGCAACCGTATCTACCTAGTGGAGGTTACATGTGGATCAACAGAAATTATGCCTGTGAACAGCATAGTGGAAAGCTAGCAGTATCTTCTTTACTTTTAATACAGTTGTTAGGTGACTTTTTTCCCCCGGGCGTTGTTTTTAGATTTTGTGTGCGCACATTTTGCATTAATCAGATTTGATATAACAGCATTTTTAATAGCATGGTTTTGATGAGGGTTCAGTTCCATCAAGTGGTACTTAACAAACAAACCTTT